ATTAGTATAAAAAGACCACTGAAGTAGCAGAGAATCTAAGATAGCTGAAACTTCTGGTGCAGTGCAGACATTGGGGTTTTTGGTATTTGCTTTTATCTGTTCTGTGAAATTTCAATTACCCATTTGATAAAAATTTTTGTCTCTTGAGAGGAAAAAAGGTTATTTTTTTGGGGTTTTTTTTTTAAACTGAAAACAAGAGCACAGTCAAGCAGGAAGTTATGTTTATGTACACTGCAAAGAAAGCATTTAACATGGTTAACTTATCTGACTTAAAACGGTGACAAGAATTGCATATATTATTTCCTTTCTAACTTTTAATGCTTAGCATTAGAATTCTGTGGAATATCTTAATTTTTTTTTCCCTATTAAGGAGATTTTTTTTTATACACTGCTTCATGTTCCAGGTATGTTTAGCTGAATAATCTCCATGCAGTATCTCATGGAAACATAGATGTAACAGCTTACAAACAGATGGTCTCATGCTCTGTGTAGCAGCCAAGTGTGATGGGAAATGAGTAGCTGGACATTTTAAGTGCTGCCAAGTTTTCTACTCACAGCTCCAGTGTAGTGAAGACAATAGTGGAGAAGGTGAAGGAGAAATGAACACCAATGATTCTAATAGATCACTGATCTCCATCAAGTCATTCTTGTTTTAGGAAGAGGTAAAAAAACTGCTAAAGTGGCAGTGAAATGACAAACCTGGATTTAAAGATACAACAAATTTGAGGGGTGATGGAGGGAAACATGCAAGACAATGGACAATGGTTTTGCTGAAACAGCGGAAAGTTGTACTTGGATCTGAAGGAAAACCATAGTGTGGTCACTGTAGATCTGTGGGCGTGCTGCTTGCAGGCATGCAAAGCAGTGTTGAGAAATTTGGAATAAAGCAGCCTTGAGACTGCTGCGTTTGTGAACTTCCTTCTGTTTCCATAGTGAGTGAGTTTTGATGTATTTGAATGGGTGAGATGATGCTTAGCATTTCTTCAATTTAAGTAAAAAAAATATGGAGAATCATCAGCATTTTGTTGTAGAGAATCATCAGCATTTTGTTGCACATTATGTACACTGTTTACAGTGATGTGATGCCGAATTCGGTTTTGTGCAGTGAAAGATGGTGGAGGCTGTAAATAGAAGCAGAAGCTTTCCTTTCCCACTAATCCAGTGTGAAGTCATTGTATGAAGTGCTGAGTTTCACGTTGAACTAGTTGAAATTTTTTTCCTCAGGGCTTGGATCTTTGTAAAATTAATTACCAGTTGCAATGAACGCTTCCTGTGATCTGACAAAATGCATCATCTCTCCACGTGTAGAATAGGGATAAGAGCACAAAAGCGTTTAGTTTCACAAAAGCTCTCAAGTTCTATTTCATTTTGATCCTTGAGTGTTATTTCAAGGACTTCTTCAAGCAGAGTGAAATCTCCTGCAGGCAAAGATGTTGCTGCCTGTTTTACTCTGAATAGCTGCTGTTGCAGAACAGGAGAGGATCAGGGTTAAATCATACTTTCTCAAACTTAATATGTGTGAAATTTGCATAGTCTGATCTGTACTCAGGCCTTTGGGGTGTTTTCTTCTTTGATTACCCCCCCGCCCTGCATTGAACTGAGAATTACAGAATGGTAGAAGGAGTGATTTGGGTCAGCCAAATTTTTGACCATATCTCCTCACTTTCTCTTTCCTGTTCTTATAGTTTCCAGGTGGTATCAGTCCAAAGATTGGGCAGGTCTTACAAGCCAAATGGTTGTAGACTAGATGCAGTTGGCTCAGTATCGTGAAAGCCTGGATTATAATAAATCCCAGCTATACGTTCTTACTAGAGTAACAGAGGAAACTGTAAAAAGAGGGTGAAGATGATAAACTATATAGACACATAGTACCAGACCTTCCTCTCAAAGTTAATCTCTTTTTCTCCATTTGATTTTTATTAAACAGAATGTCAATCCTTTTTTTTTTTTTTCCTTGACTGCCTTTGATTTTTAAGTACATTATACTTGCATGCAGTTGCAAAGAAATGGATTCTGTGATTGCTGTGTGTGCTTCCACTCTTGTGCTCTACATAAGTTCCTTGGTTTTAGGTGTTTTAACTGTTCCAAAATACTGAAACTGCAGAATTGCAAATTAATTTCAAATGGAGAGGTATATATTATCACATATCATTAACTTTCCTCTCTGGTTTGGTTAGCATATCTCTATGAGTTCAGTTAAGTTTTTCAACTTAGACAGCTGCATTGCCTGTGGGTTTTTCTTTACCATCAGGCTCCAGCTGTTCTCTCTTCCTCATTCCGTAAGTGCATGTTCTATTAAGGTGTGCATGTAGTACAGTTGTGCTCTGAAGTTTTGTTCTTTTTTTCTTCCTTAATTTTTATTAAACAGAGACCAATATTATAGCAACTGAAGCTGTTACACTGCCTGAGTGGAGCTTTCCATTTCCTTACGTTTTGGGTAAATCAAATTTAATTTGATCTTTTGGCCTTGGTTCAGATGCTTAAGAATGTTTGACGTTATGGAACAAGCTTATAGATGGGGATATGCTAAGTATCTGAATAAAGAGGTGGTCTTCATATGAAATGTGTAGGCTGCATTCCAGAATATTTTGAGTTCCCTTCTCTCCCAAACACCTCTGTTAAAAATTCTGTTACTTGGCTAAGATAGTGAAACCCTCTGAGAGGGAAGGAAAGGTATCATAGCAATTTTTAGGAGTTTTGTTAAACTGTGTTGCACGTTTTAAAGAACAGTTGTGTAGAATAATTCTAGGCAAAAGGTATAGTTCTCATGCTTCTTGATTGCAGTCTTTTAAACACAGCATTCTAACAATTTTTTTCCTATATGTAGGCTCTGTTTGTAGCCTCTAAGCTGAAGATGTTTGATCATCTGAAAGATAAAGGTCCACTGAAGGCTGGGGATATTGCAAATGAGGTTGGAACCTCTGTGTGTGGAACAGAAAGACTCCTTGATGCATGTGCTGCTCTTGGATTACTGGAGAAAACACCACAAGGTGACTTAATTTCTCCTCCCCCCAACTGCATATAGTGCTGAAAGACATGTAGGACTGGAAGAGATGCTTTGAAGGTTACAGGCTCTGACTTGATATTGTGGGTAACTTGGATTTGGGGGAAAGGGGAATGGATTGTTGCTTCTTTGCTTTCATTACTAGTAGCTGGAATCGTTTCATCTGGGAGCAGGCTTTATCTAAAGAACACATTCAGGTCTCCTTCCTTAGATTGCTTTTGCTCTCTGGACATAGTACTGACCGAATTTCTAAGAAAAAGTTGTGTCGGCAGTCCCAGGGAGCAGCATAATAGCTCAGATGTATCATCTGCATTTGGGTCACAACAACCCCATGCAGCGCTACAGGCTTGGGGAAGAGTGGCTGGAAAGCTGCCTGTCGGAAAAGGACCTGGGGGTCTTCATCAACAGCC